GAAGCCGCGGGCCGGCGCGGAGGCCTGCGCAGGGCCGGGCCGCGCTCGCTGCGCTTCCGCCGGGACAAACCCGCGCGCGGGCGGCCGCAGCGGCCCTGTCCGCCAAACTCTTGCAGGGGGACGCTATTTTCTGTGACAACCCCGACCTAGATGGTTAGTTCCTACGAACGGCCTCGCGCGGCTCACGGCGGCTGCGGCCTTGCTGCCGCGTGAGTTATTAGCCACGTGCGGACCCGGCAACCCCAAGCTCCCAAACTATTTATTTTTACTGTGCAGGTGATTGTAGAGCACAACAGGTTTCCCACTCAGTTGCTCGTGCTTACAGGATGAGTCCCAATTGCTCTGTCCAGGAAATTCACGTCCTCGCCAAGAATCCTTGTGGAAATTAATTAATCCCCTAATAACGCCAAGGCCTCCTGCAAAGCATTTTGAAAGATTATGGGCAGTTCCTGTGATTCACATTGTTTGCCTTTTTTTTTTTAAAAAAAAATGCCATGTTTGATCAATGTTGATGTGTCTGAAACCAAGTTATAGAAGAAGAGCTAGTAAAAACTTCATAATTGTGAAAATAATCATTTCTGTTCTCAGGTAGAGATGCAGCCAAACCGCCCTGTTTCTGTGCTAATCTGCTCTGTGGGAGCTCTCTGGGGAAATGAGCAACCATGAGGCTGATCACAGGTCGCGCTGGTGCTGCTGGAGCAATTAAAGCTGAAGCGCAGAACAATTCTGACCCCTTTTTCTAAAGCAAATTAAATCTACCTTCCATCCTTCCCCCTAAAAAACAGACAGTAGAATATTAAGATTTAAGACTCATACAAGTGGAGTTGCACCGATTCCAGCTACACTCTTAGAATAATTTAAATGATTAATTATACCATTACAAAATTGTAAAGATTGGGGAAAAAAAAATGTAGCATCTTACAGTGATGCATACAAAGGTTTTATATACATAGTCTGAAAAGAACTCTAAGGACAACCCTTGAGTTGGCATTAAGCCCTCAGTGAATGCAGGAAAGGCCGGAATACGATCAGCCACGAATTTGGTGGGGGCTTTTTTTTGGTTTTGTTTTCATTTGGTTTGTTTGTTTGTTTGTTTTAACTGCATCAGTGATAACACAGGCTTCAGACTCTTTAAAAATATAAACACAATCCAGGTAAACATTTTTGAGCTAACATTCATACTGCTATTATTATTTGTCTTTTTTACTTCTTAGGTACCAGTGATGAAAATAGATTAGTGCCACGGGGGAAAATTAAACCCAAACAAACACAAACATAGATTTTTTGCTATGTTAAAAAAAAAATCTGTGAAGCTGTACCAAACCTCTGAAAGTACCAAGATAAGTGCGCTTACTCATATACAAGTCATTCCAAGGCCACTAGAACCCTTCTTTTATTACAGGATAAAGCAGCATTATTTTGGTTTTAAAATGGGGCCAACAGGAACTGATAAAGCAAAGGAAATAAATACACAGTTGCTTCACTTGTATTAAGAACAGAGAGGAATACCTTCATTTTATTTTAAAATGATCCTTCTTAGATTTATTCTGCAACACTTTGGTAGCATCAGAAAGGTCATAGTCCATATTTTTTACATGTATAAAAATGCTTGGAATTAATAAGTGATCTATAAGCAGGTAGGGAAAAGCATGATTTTGTCATGAGGAGGTAGACTAGCCCACTAAAATAATTTATTTCTTTGGCGAGAAAATTGGTATAGAGGCTAACAGCAAAGCTGCATGAGTGCTTTATGCTAAGAACAGGTGTACTGACATCATCCACAGTGATAATATTCTCATTACCAAGTTAAGGGCTGGCAGTACACAAGAATATTCTATAAAACAGAGTAGCAGACATATGAAAAAGCATACTCAGTAGTTGGCAGAGATCGCATTAACTGAGGCGCAAAAGGGGTCTGTGTCAGCCTGGTGGCGCTAAGCAATTTCATATACTTTGGACAGTCAAAATGACTTTGAATAAGAGGAAAATAGTCTATAATCAACAAGGTAAGGTTCAACAAAGACAAGGCCCAAAGACGTATCTAGAGAATAAAAGGAAATACACACAGAAACGAGTGGAAGCTGTTTGAGCATTAAAACTTGAGATGTTATACAGCACACAAGCTGCGTGTCACTGTAGCATCCCGCCCAGCACCAAGGCTGCCAGACTCGTGCAGAAGCGTGAGGAAAAGTTGTAAAGCACTGGATAGGGAAACAACATTTGAGGAGATGTGGGACTTCAAATGCACGAGGGGTCTTTGTAATGCAAAGGCAATGGGTTATCCTCCTCGCTGACCGGAGAGGATGACCGGGGGGATTTGGGTTGGATACAGGGGATTGTTGCCCGTGTCACAGGGGCGCTAGGGACGCGCTCGGGTAGCGTGAGGAAAAGTTGTAAAGCACTGGATAGGGAAACAACATTTGAGGAGATGTGGGACTTCAAATGCACGAGGGGTCTTTGTAATGCAAAGGCAATGGGTTATCCTCCTCGCTGACCGGAGAGGATGACCGGGGGGATTTGGGTTGGATACAGGGGATTGTTGCCCGTGTCACAGGGGCGCTAGGGACGCGCTCGGGTAGCGATGGGCCCAAGGC